CCAAAACGAAACAAACAAAAACGACTTAATGGCTGGTGTGCCATATTTTCTGGAGCCAGCTAATTGGTCATTTACTTTTTTAAAAAATTAATACCTAATTTCATATAGCTTTAAACCATTGGTCCGGTAGCTCGACTGTTTGAGCGCTGTCAGAGCGCTAGCAGTCGTTTTAAGAGCGCTTTCGAAGAATTTACGCGTGGTGTCTAAGCAAAATATCACGTAGAATACTGCAGGTTTGTTTTAAGTAGTGGTGAAGATTGGTGAAAGTATAGGTTTTGCCATTATTTTGCTAGATCATATAAGGTCATTATTACAACTAATTATGTGAGTAACAAGATTGAGCGAGCTGGGTGCGCTTTACTGTGCACCAATTAACAGAACAGTTCGGACAGGACAGCATTACAGTCATATCAAAAAGAGGACGAGAACAATTTCAATCCTTTGCAACGGCGCTTAAGGATTTTTCCACTAAATTGACGACGAGTCTATCTTTGAATAAAGAACTGGCTTCCAGCTATCAAGCTCATAGCTGAAATTTTCTTACTTGCCTATGTATCATTGGCTTATACTCAGAACAAACAGCCGTTAAGTTGTATTGAGGGGAGTGGCGATGAGTAAGATGAATAATAAAGAAGACTCAGGTGACAGCGTGGGGCAGCTTCTTACCAAAAGGGTACTCCCTGAATTATCTGTTAAGCAAAATTTCAACAAATACAAAGCTGATCAAACACTTAGTTCATACTTCCAGAACAGGCACAGGATGGCTTCTGAGGTTCGCTTACATGAGGGAAAAGCAGGACAGTGTTCCCTGCAATCATTTCCCTTACCCTCGCGGGAGGGCCTCCCCGTCCTCGGCGCTCCTTGGTCTTTACTGCCTCATCAGTCAACTGGAGCTGTAACTTGCTACACATAAGGGCTAAAAGAAAATAGGAGAAAGCATACTATAGGCTACAAAATGTTACAGGAATGTGCACTGTCACCACTATTAAATCTTAAATTTCCTTCACTGAGGGCTGGGGTGGTGGCTCACACCTGTAATCTCAGCAGGAGGTTGGATTGCTTGAGGCCAGGGAGGCTAAGGTAGGAGAATTGCTTGAGGCCAGGAGTTTGAGACCAGCCTGGCAGCATGGTGAAACCTCTGACTCTTAAAGAAAAGATTAAAAAGAAAAAAAGAAAGTTTCCCTCACCGAGGCTTCCAGATTAAAAGCAAAAACTGTCATAGGCAACTGTTAAGGGCAGGCACGATGGATCATGCCTCTAATCCTAGTACTTTGGGAGGTGAGGGGGCGGATCACTTGAGGTTAGTTCGAGACCAGCTTGGCCAATGTGGTGAAACCTGTCTCTACTAGAAATAAAAAAATTAGCTGGGCATGGTGGTGTGTGCCTGTAGTCCCAGCTACTCAGGAGGCTGAGGCACAAGAATCACTTGAACCCGGGAGGCGGAGGCTGCAGTGAGCCAAGATTGTGCCTCTGCACTCCAGCCTGGGTCACAGAGCAAGACCCTGTCTCAAAAAAAACAAAAAAACAAAAAACAAACAAAAAAAACTGTTAAGAGAGGTAAACTCTGGGGAGTATGACTAGAGGATATGGGGTGGGGTTTCCACTCTTTGGGACTGTATTATGAGTTTTTACCATTTGCAGGTACTACTTTTATAATATTAACAGACATACAATTCTGCGTATACCTACCAGTTCGCTTAATTATTTCCCAAACACCCCATGGGGTAGCCGGTAACATGGAATACTGGTCCAAACACATTCGCCCTACATTAATTACATGAAAGCCATCAACATCCTTGTCTGGAGAAACAGCATTGCAGATCCTTCTCTCATCAATATGCTCTGAAAAAGAAATCGGCAGTTGCCTTAAATCACCACCTCACAGTCAGCACTGCCTGACTCCAGCTTATCTGCTTCCTCAAGGAAATCCATTCTTCTACAGCTTGCCTCCGAGATGTACTTCATCTGCATGGAAGGAACTCGCATAAGCAAAGCCAAACACCAATAGCAAAGCCAGTATCATCTATCAGTTGCTTCCCTCCACTGTCCTTTATATCAAGACCACAATACTAAATCAAGGGGTAATGGGTATTCTGAGTTGGTCTGTCCCATTCTAATAAAATATTCACTCTTTTGCATTTACTTTGCCTTTAAGCCAAATCCACATGAAGAGCCAAGTGTATAAAATAACAAGGCCTTTTTACTCCTCAGAAATCATTTTAGGTAGGGCATGGTAGTTCATGCCTGTAATTCCAGCACTTGGGAAGCACGGAGTCCAAGACCAGCCCAGGCAACACAGAAAGACTTCCATTTCTAGGAAAAATATAAAAAGTAGCTGGGCATGGTGGCACACACCTATAGTCCTAGCTATGTGGGAGGCTGAGGCAGGAGGATCCCTTGAACCCAGGAGCTTGAGCATGCAATAAGCTATGATTGTACCATTGCACTCCAGCCTGGGTGACAGAGTGAGACAAGGAAAGGAGAGGGAGAGGGAGGGGGAGGGAGAGGCAGAGAGGGAGGGAGAGGAAGAGAGGGAGGGAGAGGGGGAGGGGGAGGAGCAGAAGCAGCAGCAATCATTTAAATGGTAGAGTCCAAAACTCACCTGGAAGAGGCAGCTGAACAAGGAGGCCATCTACATTATCATCATTATTCAGTTTATTGATTAAATTCAACAATTCTTCCTCTGAAATTGAAGCTGGTTTCACAATTGTCTCACTGTTTATTCCTATTATAGGAAATTTTGAGGTTAAAAAAATTTTTGAGACATTTAATGAGCACTGCTATGTTGCCTACCATACTTGGCTACCATACAGGTTTTGTATCATCACACCCATCCCTAGAAGCTGAAGTAGCTCAAGGAACCTAAAAAAGTAACTTCACAAATATATACACTAGAGAATACTAGCTTAACACATCCTGTATACCTCATTCTATGCAATCCTCATTAACCTTATTTTACAGACAGACTGAGGCTCAGAGAGATTTAAAAATAAGCGAGCTAGGCCAGGCGCGTGGCTCATGCCTGTAATCCCAGCACTTTGGGAGGCCAAGACCGGCAGATCATGAGGTCAGGAGATGGAGACCATCCTGGCTAACACGGTGAAAACCCGTCTCTACTAAAAATACAAAACATTCGCCGGGCATGGTGGTGGGTGCCTGTAGTCCCAGCTACTCAGTAGGCTGAGGCAGGAGAATCGCTTGAACCTGGGAGGTGGGAGTTGCAGTGAGCTGAGATCTCACCACTGCATTCCAGCCGGCTCAACAGAGCAAGCAAGACTCATGTCTAAATAAATAAATAAATAAGCGAGCTAATAATACAGCCAGTCTTTCTGGTTTCAAAACCCATGTTCTTTTTTTCTGCACCACACTACCTCCCAATGTCTTAAAATGCCACGGCTTGGCCAGGCACAGTGGCTCACGCCTGTAATCCCAGCACTTTGGGAGGCCGAGGCGGGCGGATCACCTGAGGTTGGGGAGTTTGACACCAGCCTGACCAACAGGGAGAAACCCCATCTCAACTGAAAATACAAAATTGGCCAGGCATGGTGGCGCATGCCTGTAATCCCGGCTACTCGGGAGGCTGAGGCAGGAGGCGGAGGTTGTGGAGAGCCGAGACTGCGTCATTGTCCTCCGGCCTGGGCAACGAGAGAGAAACACCATCTCAAAAAAAAAAAAAAAAAAACCATGGCTTTCCCTTTTTTAAAAGTTTTTAAAGGCTTTCCATTAAAAGAGTAGGAGGCCTCAATCCTCAATGGTAAAGAATAGAGGAAACCACGGGCTCACAGGCCAGTAACCCCTCCCAGCCATGCCAGTGGTTTCACAACCCTTCAGAAGGAAAGGCCACCTGCTGCTCATGCTCAGACCACGGGCCCACAGATGGGCAGGCACAGGCATATCTGAGTCTGCCCACCCACCTCTTGTCCACAGACACATAGTAATCTGTGGTACCATGAGGCCTAGAACACAAACCCCATCATCCAGACCCGAACTGCTTCCAAACTGCACGTTTGGCTTTAGAACCAATCGGTGAAGAACTTGAAAGCTCTTTCCCAGAAGTCAAGAGTCATTTCCTTCAAATCTATGACTGTGTTCCTGACCTCATCACTGAGATCTCCTGATACTGTATTGTTCAATCATGCCCCCTAAGCCTCTAAGGCTTTAAACTGCAAACACTCGAACACCTCTGCTGGAGACCCATTATTGCCCAAGGAAAGCAAATGTAAAATGTATTCAGGGTCACCTATCAAATGGAAAGACTAAGAACAGAACGTGCCTTATATTCTTTCCAGAAGCTACAGAGAATACCAACCAGTAAGTATCTCCTGTCCTAGTCTAGAAACCCCGAAAGATACAGTCTGATTTCCTATGACAAAGTTTTGGGATACAGTTCAATCACATTAGCCTCCTCTGCTTGGGTTTCCTAATCAGAAAAAAGAAATCATAAATTACAATGGACTTTGCCTCATATAAACCTCAACTGAACAGCATTCGAGGTCTCAAAAGGACACATACCCACATCTGCAGCTGCCCTGGTTTTGTTGAGGACGTAGGAGTGACTTGCAGGATTCTCGCCAACCAGGATCACGCTCAGGTGTGGCCGCTTGTTGCCTGAGGCCACCCACTCTTCCACCTCCTGCCGCACTTCCTGCTTGATCTCCTGGGCCAGTTTCCTTCCAGAAATGACAACAGCTTCATTTCTGCAGAAGGCAACAGAGTCACAAAACCAAATAACTTGAATTTTTATAAAAACGAAAATTCTGCCAGGTGTAGTGGCTTATGCCTGTAATCCCAGCACTTCGGGAGGCCAGGGCGGGAAAATGGCTTGAGCCCAGGAGTTTGAGACCAGGCTGGGCAACAAGGCAAAACCCCTGTCTCTGCTAAAGAAATAAATATATCCAGCTACATATGGAGGGGGATAAAGTTGATGAAGCTCAGAGTTTAAGTGACTGACAGCTAGTGCTTGGTCAAGCTGAGTCTCACATCAGTTTGGGCTCTTAACTGCTACACCACCCTGAGCCCTGATCATTACTAAGTTTTTTACAGTTTTAATTTGCAGTTGTGTGACCCCTCACCATGAGGTTAAATAGTTCTTCTTATCTGCTTATATGCCATTTGTAGTTCGTGTTTTGCCCCTGTTGTTAGCAGCCAGGCATGTATTTCAAATCATTTCCCAGTCAATTGACTTCATTTTTATGGTGCTTTTAAATAGATAAATTATATTCTGTAGTTGAATAAACAAACAATATCAGGCCAGGCGTGGTGGCTCACATTTGTAATCCCAGCATTTTGGGAGGCTGAGGAGGGCAGATCACGAGGTAAGGAGTTTGAGACCAGCCTGGCCAACACAGTGAAACCTCGTCTCTACTAAAAATACAAAAATTAGTTGGGTGTGGTGGTGGACGCCTGTAATCCCAGCTACTCAGGGGGCTGAGGCAGGAGAATCACTTGAACCTGGGAGGCAGAGGTTGCAGTGAGCTGAGATTGTGCCACTGCACTCCAGCCTGGGTGACAGAGCTAGACTCTGTCTCAAAAACAAACAAACAAACAATATACTGGACAAGTCAAACATCAAAATGAATACCACTCCCCGCAGTCCCTTCTGGGGAAGACTTTCCTGGTAAGAATAGGGGCAGGGCAGGGCAGGGGACTGGAGGAAGCTCCTTCTCACAGTTGGCAATGTGCTCTTCCCAGGGACCCCACCACATCATCCAAAGCTGACAGACCAGGAGTGAGTATCTGACGCCAAGGGCAACCAACAATCTCTAGGCTGCCCAGTGGTCCAGTTGGTGCAAAAGCTTAGCTCAACAGAGCAGTGAGAGTTAGCTGAACCAGTAAGAGCTCGTCCCTGAGGCAGTTCAAACTAGAACCACAGAACATAGACAGAAAGAAGAGACAGAATAGTCACACCAATGGGAGACAACAGGATAAGAAATCAAAAAACTGTTGCTGGGGTGGAGAGCAAGAAGAAAAATCAGGATCTAGAAGAACCTCCAGTTCCCAAAACCACGTTCAGCTGTGCGAAAGGCTGTCTCTTCCCAAAGCGAACTGCTTATGCAGCTCTTCCCGGGTTCCATGAAGCCCAAATATGGAACAGTCCCAGTTTTCCTATTTTCACACGTCCTTACAATAAAGTGCCCATTACTTAAAGATGAGCATCTGGCCCAGCGCGATGACTCATGCCTGTAATCCCAGCACTTTAGGAGACCGAGGCGGGTGGATTGCCTGAGGTCCGGACTTCGAGACCAGCCTGGTCAACATGGCGAAACCCCCTCTCTGCTAAAAATGCAAAAATTAGCTGGGCATGGTGGCGCATGCCTGTAATCCCAGCTACTCGGGAGGCTAAGGCAGGAGAATCGCATGAACCCAGGAGGCAGAGGTTACAGTGAGCTGATATCGCCCCACTGCACTCTAGCCTGGGCAACACAGGAAGACTCCATCTCAAAATAAAATAAAATAAAATATAAAAATAAAATAAAATAAAATGAGCATCTCTTCCGTAAGTAAAATGATCCCATTTGAAAAAGCCTTTCCCTTTAGATCTCTGTCCTTGCTGTCATGAAGACTGCTCTAACCTCAAGACCAACGAAGCAATCTCCTCTTTATTCTAAAACCTAACATCAAGGTACTGAATAACCTATAGGGTCAGATAAAATTAATTCTCAAGATAACTGCTAATTTATTTATTTATTTATTTTGAGACAAGAGTCTTGCTCTGTTGCCCAGGCTGGCGTGCAGTGGCATGATCTCAGCTCACTGCAGCCTCCCAGGTTTATGCAATTCTCCAGCTTCTGCCTCCTGAGTAGCTGAGAATACAGGCACCCACCACTGCACCCAGGCAGTAACTGCTAATTTAAATGGGATTTTAAAGCATTCACAATCTTTAGGCCTTCAATAAGTGCTTTTTATTGCATTATGATTAAATACCAACTTTAAACCAAATCTCAACATCTTAGATATAATGCAATAATCTTATATCTAAACTTAATCTTAATCTGTATTGCATCTTGTGAAGTATTCAGTTATTATAATCTGGCTGGGCATGGTGGCTCATGCCTGTAATCCCAGCATTTTGGGAAGCCAAGGCGGGCATATCACTTGAGGTCAGGAGTTCAAGACCAGCCTGGCCAACATGGCGAAACCCCACTTCTACTAAATATACAAAAATTTGCCAGGCATGGTGGCAGAACCCTGTAATTGTAATCTCAGTTACTCGGGAGCTGAGGTAGGAGAGTATCTTGAACCCAGGAGGCATAGGTTGCAGTGAGCCGAGATCCCACCACTGCACTCCAACCTGTGTGACAGAGCAAGACTCCATCTCAAAAAAAGAAAAAAGCTATCATAATCTTAAGCAAATCAAATACTTTTACCCAGATTTTACATAATGATACTAGCATGGCACAACATATAATAGCATTTAATTATACCCATGGTATATGAAAAAATTGAAAACATATTAATATTCACAATTCCATTTCAGAATTAGAGTCGAAGGGGACTTCATTAAAAGGGTTTTGCAGGCTGGGCGCAGTGGCTCACATCTGTAATCCCAACACTTTGGGAGGCCAAGGCGGGCAGATCACGAGGTCAGGAGATTGAGACCATCCTGGCTCCCATGGTGAAACCCTCTCTACTAAAAACACAAAAAATTAGCCAGGCATGGTGGCACACACCTGTAGTCCCAGCTACTTGGGAGGCTGAGGCAGGAGAATCGATTGAACCCGGGAGACAGAGACTGCATTGAGCAGAGATTGCCGTGAGCAGAGATCGTGCCACTGCACTCCAGGCTGGGCAACAGATAGAGACTCTGTCTCAAAAAAAAAAAAAAAGAAAGAAAAGAAAAAGACAGTGGGGGGTTTGCTGATACAAATATACCTGGCAACATTCCTGATTTATATTAGTACCTGGAATGCCCACCGCAGGCCAAAAATACATTCCTAATCCTGGAACACTACAGAGTCAAAGACTACTTTAAAAGGGCTTAGAACAGTCATTTATATTGAATGAAATAACAAACATATATAACGTGCCAGGCATATATGTTCAATAAAACTAATTTCTTACTCTTTTCTCTTCGTTTTGTATATATGTATATATACGCACACATACACACATATCCTTAAAATATACTTACACATACTCATAAGGAGATATATATAAGTATGTATACTATATGTATATATAAATACTCAGTGAGAATGACTTAGCTTGCACCTCATAAAAATTTCTTTTGAAAGCAGTAAACTTAGAGAAAATGGTATGAGCACATTCAGATAAAATCATATACTAAAGTTAAGGACACAGGGTTCTGGGAAAAGCCAGTGTTCCAAGTCCCCAACTTTGCTTCCAAAAGCAGGTTCTTGATGTTATGCCAATTTGCTTGGAAAAAAAAAAAAAAGAAAAGAAAAAGAAAGAATGAAAAACAGTCAAAGAGTAACAAGAATCAAAAACAAAGTCACTTGCAGTGAGTATCTTTCATAGTAAAACTGTCAGCCCTCCTCTGCTTCCCACAACTCTGCAAAATGTGAAATACAGCCTTGGGAGTGAGTCATTAACTAATTTAGCATCATCTCTTTTGCCAAGGGGCAGATTAACTGCTACCCCAAAATAAACAGGGAAATGGAAAGTCAGCTAAGTCCCACGGGGAATCCAAAATTGTAACTATATTAGCTAGCGGTTATCCCAGAATTAAATGCGTTCACAGATGTGTTTAGAAAAAATTCCCAGGGCTGGTGATGGTGGCACAAGACTTGTAATCCCAGCATTTTGGGAGGCCAAGTTCAAGCCTAGCATGGGCAACATGGCGAGACCCCATCTCTACTAAAAGTTAAAAAAAAAAAAATTAGCCAGGCATGGTGGTATGCTCCTGGAGTCCCAGTTACTCAGGAAGCTGAGGTGGGAGGATCACTTGAGCCCAGGAGGTCAAGGCTGCAGTAAGCCATGATTGCACCACTGCACTCCAACCTCACCAAGAGAGAGATTCCCCTGCCAAAAAAAAAAAAAAAAAAAAAAAAAAAAAAAAATTCCCATTAAAATACGTAATCAACAGAACAGGAAGAAGTCAAGAGGACTGTTCAAATAAAATCCAAAACTGTGGCTCACGCCTGTAATCCCAACATTTCGGGAGGCCAAGGCGGGTGGATCACTTGCAGTCAGGAGGTCGAGACCAGCCTGGCCATCATGGTGAAACCCCGTCTCTACTAAAAATACAAAAATTAGCAGGGCATGGTAGTGTGCGCCTATAGTCCCAGCTGTTTGGGAGGCTGAGATAGGAGAACAGCTTGAACCCAGGAAGGAGGCAAGAGGTTGCAGTGAGCGAAGATTGCACCATTGCACTCCAGCCTGGGCAACAAAGTGAGACTCCGTCTCAAAAAATAAAACAAAATTCAAAACTAAAATCCAAGTGAGTAGCATCTTCACTTTCCTTTTAATTCAACAGCTTACAGTACTGTAATTTTCCATGAGAAATTAGTATCAGGGCATTTTACAATTCATAATCAAGTGATTTAGGGAAGCGTTGTTATCAATTATTAATGGGAAAAGTAATGAGTGAAGGAAGACACAAGGGAAAATGGAACAAACATCTATTAAACACTAGGTGTTTTGCTTAGACTTTAACATATATTACTCTGTCACCTTGGGACTATTATAATAACACTGTTATACAGAAGATGAAACTGAGGATAGTAGAAACAAGATTCAAAGGCAAATTCTGCCTCTAAAGTCCATTGATTTCATAACCCCAGTCTCCTAGGCTACAATTTCTCCAACCATAGGTTTATGTTCCTGAAACTCTCATACCAACCAACAAAGAAAAAAAAAAAAAGGAATGCAGACTCATATTTTCAAAAAGATACATTTTGAAAATAAGCAGTATTTAAAAATAAGCAGTATTTTTAAAAATAAGCAGTAGTAAGAAGGCAATATGTGGGAACTGTAAATAGCAAATGTGCAGTATAGATAATATGGATTGCTTTCAGAGATGTGGATGAAGCTTACTGTTCTTTCTGAAAGGTAGCGAAAAGAGCATTTGTTATTGGAGAGTGTTGGCAAACTGGCCCAGTTCTTTAGTGAGTGAGAGCATCTTTATAAATCTCTTTTGGACCATGGAAGCCTAGGAAAGGTCTGGTCCACAGTCACATGAGGCCAGCACTCAGGAAGAGAGGGGGAGAGAACACACAGTAACGAAAGATGGGGGAGGTCAGAGTCAGACCAGGGAAAACCCTGAAAGTCCCCTCCTACCTCTTCCTTCAAGAACTCATTGCTCCAACAAGCAGCGCCTTTGAAATATTTCTAACAGCATTTCTGCACTGACTGGAAATTACACACGTGTTCCGCCTCTTGTCAGGAACATGAGCTCCATTAAAAACAGTTTTTATCTCTGAATTCGCAAAGCTTGGCATAAAAAAATGTCTGGCACACAGTGAACGTTAGATGAAAAAAAGAAGGGGCTGATGTCATAAGGTGCAGGGCTCTAACAATGCCAACAATGCCAACGCTCTAATGACCGACCAAATCACCTTCCCAAGGAAATCCAAAAATGCAAAAGAGCTTTTCCTTTCCTCCTCCCGGGTATATTTTTCCCAATTTGTTACTGTGGTAAAATTCACATAACCTAAATCTTACCACCTTTTTTTTTTTTTTTTTGAGACAAGGTCTCGCTTTGTCGCCCAGATTGGAGTGCAGTGGCGTAATCATGGCTCACTGCAGCCTCGAACTCCCGGGCTCAAGCGATTCTCGTGCCTCAGCCTCGGCGCGTGTCACCATGCCCGGCCCATCTTAACCATTTTTAAGTGCAGTTCTGTGGTATTAAATACGTTCGTATGTTGTGCAACCATCAGCACCATCCATCTCCAGAACTCTTCATCTTGTAAAACTGAAATTCTGCAAGTACCGCTGAAACGTGGGTACTTGTTACCCTCCATTCCCCCTTTCCCTAAGGCCCTGGGTGCCTCCTGGGTGTTTGTCACCTCTCTGTACGCAGCCTGGTACTGACCGGCTCGGGTGGGCTGCAGACAAATCCAGGGTGTCCAGAGTCCGTTCACGCTCCGGGCGGAGCGGCGGCAGCGCGGGCCACTCCCACTGCCAGAGGGAGGAGGGCGGCGCGGGGACCCCGAGCAAGTCGGCTCCGCGATTTCATCAGCTGCAGCAGCGCCCTCCGCCGCTAGGGTCCCTGCAAGGAACAGCTCGCCGAGGGCTGCTCTTTTGGAACCCTCGCCTGCTCTCCCCTGGACGACTCTCAGCCAGGCGCGGCCGGCAGCTGTCGAAAGGCCCCGCGTAAACCGGCGCCTTCGCTCCGCACGCCACCCCCGTCACTCCCGCCGACTGTTCACGGGCCCCGGCGACGCCCCGAGTCGCGGAAGAGCGGCTCCCTCCGAAAGGCAGGCTTCGGGTCCCAGCCCTTCGCGCCGAGCAAGCGCCCCAGTCGAGGGCTGCGGCGGCACTCGGTGCCACGTCGCCTCGCCACACCCCTCGGCGGGGCAGAGATGTTCGGGAAGGACTTCCCTCGGCGTCCCTCGGGGGCCCGGCGTGCCCCTCGCCCTCCGTTCCCCTCAGCTTTCCGCGCTGACCGAGCTCCCTAACCCTCTTACCGAACTGCCGCGAGGTGGAAGGGGCGAGGGCGAAGGGAGCAGCTGTGCGCGGGCTGCAGTAGCCGGGCAGCCAACGCGGACATGAAGGAGGTTGCAGCCATAGCCCGCGCCGGTGACCGCGCCGGTGACCGCGCCGGGAAGGAAGCGCGCGCGCTGGCCACGCGGTTATACTGCGGCCTCGTGGCAGGCCCCGCCTCCCTCCGCCACCCATTGGTCCCCGCCATACGCCACTGGCTGTCTGTTGAGCCAACTGGAGCCGAAGGGGCCAACCGATTTTCTTTATTAAACGTAAGCGAAGTCCGAAAGAGCCCTGTTTTTGATTGGAGCAAGAAGAGCTTGGAGCGAGGTCCTGTAAGGCTCTGAAGCCTCGGCAACATGCCGTGAATGGCTGAGGAAGTCAAGCTCCTGCCTGTCGCCGCTAGTGTCACGGAAGCCCGGACAACACAAGAGAAAAGTTCATTCATTCATTCGTTGAACAATTATATGAGCGCCTACTGTGTGCCAAGCGCTGTAAAGGGTGGATGAAAAGACAACCTGATAGAATACCAATGAATAAAAGTAAAAGGAAGTATGGAGTTAGAAAATCACCATTTAGCAAAATCATAGTAAAAACTGATTCAGAAGCAGCAATAGATGTCAAAACAACTGGGTGAAAGTTGGATAAGGAGCAAGATATTTACATATAGGGTTGCCAGATCTAGCAAATAAAGACACAGGATGCCCAATCAAATTAGAATTTTAGATAAACACTTTGGGGGGTCATATTTATACTTTATTTATGGCTTATCTGGAATTCAGATTCAACTGGGCTTCCTGTATTCTTTCCCGCAAACTTTTTGCATCGTCTCAAAGTATCTCTCCCACAAGAAACTTAAGGAGGGCAGGGCGCGGTGGCTCACACCTGTAATCCCCAGCACTTTGGGAGGCCAAGGCGCACGGATCACCTGAGGTCAGGAGTTCGAGACCAGCCTGGACAGCGTGTTGAAACCCCGTCTCTACTAAAAACACAAAAAAATTAGCTGAGCGTTGTGGCTGACGCTGTAATCCCAGCTACTGGGAGACTGAGGCACGAGAATCGCTTGAATCCGGGAGGCAGAGGTTGCAGTGAGCCGAGATTGCGCCACTGCACTTCAGCCCCGATGACAGAGAGAGACTCTGTCTCAAAAAAAAAAAAAAAAAAAAGAATAGGAGAAACCAATCCTGTCAACACCTTGACCTTTTCTTCTAGCCTCCAGGAAGGAAAGGAACATGGTAAATTTACAGTGAAGAAACCTGACAGTTACTGCCTCAACCACATGATAAAAGTTAGCACTACCCAGTAATGGAACACACATATGTGCCTTCTGATAGGATCCATTGAGGAGACACATCACTTCGTAGCTCTTAACAAGCCTGTAAATTTAATAAAGTGATTTTCCTAAACCAATGAGTCTCCTAAAAACAGTTACAGATTCCTCATTTCACATTGAGGAGAAAGATCACAGACCCAGAATGTTAAAACTGTCCAGGGGAAAAAAAAAAAAAAAAACAGTTCTAAAGCTTTGGAACACACTAGGAGATCTTAATCTATTCACAAGGAAATATCAGACAAGCCCAAAGTGAGAGATATTCTACAAGATAAATTGCTTGTACTCTTGACAGCTCCAAGGCCATGAAAGACAAAGAATGAGAAACTGTTCTCCATTAAAGGAACCTAGACATGATAGCTAAATGCTGTTTGATTCTGGACTGGATTCTGGACCCAAAACTTTTTGTCTTTCTTTTTTCTTTCTTTCTTCTTTTTTTTTTCTCTTTTGCTATAGATGACATCATAGGACAATTGGCAAAATATGAATAAAGTCTGCAACTAGCTAATAGCATTGTATCAGTGTTAGCTAATCGCATGAGGTAATGTAAGAGAATATATTGCACTTGCTTCTAGAACTAAATGACCATGTCTACAACTTACTTTTGAATAGTTCAGAAAAAAAATAATGTTTTGTATATATGAGTTGGCTAGGGCTGCCATAACAAAATAACACAGACTGAGTCGTTTAAACAACAGAAATGGGCTGAGTGCATTGGCTCACACCTGTAATCCCGGCACTTTGGGAGGCTGAGGCAGGCGGATCACCTGAGATCAGGATTCCGAGACCAGCCTGGCCAACATGGTGAAACCCTGTCTCTACTAAAAATACAAATATTAGCCAGGCGTGGTGGTACATGCCTGTAATCACAGCATCTTGAGAGACTGAGGCAGGAGAATTACTAGAATCCAGGAGGCGGACGTAGCAGTGAGTCGAGATCGCACCACTTCACTTTAACCTGGGCAACAGTGAGACTTGATCTAAAAAAAAAAAAAAAAGAAATGTATTTTCTAACAGTTCTGGAGGCTAGAAGCAAAGGTCAAGGTGTTGGCAGGATTAGTTTCTCTTGAGGCTTGCAGTCTTTGTCTTGCAGAGGGCTGCATACTTGCTGTGTTACGGCCTTTTCTGTGTGCACATGCAACCCTGACATCTCTCTCTGAATATCTTTTATTATTTTACCTTTTGTTGTTGTTTTGAGATATAGTCTCACTCTCGTTTCCCAGGCTGGAGTGCAATGGTGCGCCTTCAGCTTACTGCAGCCTCAACCTCCTGTACTCAGGTGATCCTCCCACCTCAGCCTCCCCAGTAGCTGGTACTGTAGTCACGCGCCACCACATCAGCCTACTTTTTTGTATTTTTAGTAGAGACTGGGCTTCGCCATGTTGCCCAGGTTGGCCTTGAACTCTTGGACTCAAGGAATTCACCCGTCTTGGCCTCCCAAAGTGCTGGGATTATAGGCATCAGCCACCATGCCTGGCCTCCCTGAATGTCTTAATCTCCTCTTATAAAGAAACCAGTAAGATTAATTTAGCGCCCACCCTAACAGCCCCATTTTAACCTAGTCATTGTTTTAAAGGCCGTATTTCCAAATACAGTCACATTCCAAAGTCAGAGTGTCAACGCTGAATTTTGGAGAACATACAATTCAGTCCATAACAATGTATATACATAAAATAAAATAAATAAAACAAGTGGCAAATGTAAAATATTAACAACTGGAGAAGAGTATGCAAGTATTCTTTGAACTTTTCCTGTAACCTTTCTGTATGTCTGAAATAATGTCAACATATTTTTAAAGACCAGTAATTTCTTTCTTTCTCTCTTTCTTTCTCTTTCTTTCTTTCTGTCTCTTTCTTTCTTTTTCTTTCCTTCTTTCTTTCTTTTTTTTTTTTTTTTGAGATGGAGTCTCGTTGGGTCACCCAGGCCTGGAATGCAATGGCGCGATCTTGGCTCACTGCAACCTCAGCCTTCTGGGTTCAAGTGATTCTCGTGCCTCAGCCTACCAAGTAGCTGGGATTACAGGCGTGTACCACTATACCTGGCTAATTTTTGTGTTTTTAGTAAAGATGGGGTTTCCCCATGTTGGTCAGGCTAAAAAGATCAGTAATATTTATGCCCTTATGGGGCACGGAGTGAGGCAGGCATACAATGAATAAGAGACTAAGAAAAAGAATGTGATACTGACAGCCCATGAAACAATGGATATGGAAAGTTTAGAGGTCAGAGAATGGCCTACAGGTCATATGACTGGTGATAAGACTGCGTGTGATAATTTGCAGATCCTGTCCCCAGCACACTGTGGGGAAGAGGCACCTTAGAGTTACTTGAACCTAGCAACAGTGATTGAAGAGGGAAAGGAAATACACATGTCCATCTTTTAAGGAACCTAACCCTCCATCCCTCTGCAAAATTTTGGAAATTTTCTTTTCCCAAAATGTGAACTTTCAGGAATGAATTGAAACCGCCTTTGCAAACATTGTGAACAGCAATCTAACAGTTAGTTAGATCACTTTATTAATGATCTGATCTAACCAACTTCATCTTGGCTTTTAACTTCCAAACTACCCTTGGTCATTCCTGGGCATGGGCCGAACTATCCTTGAAAGACCCAAACTTTCTGGGAGGCTGATTTGAGTAATAATAAAACTCCAGGCAGGTGCAGTGGCTCACACCTGTAATCCCAGCACTTTGGGAGCCTGAGGTGGGTGGATCACGAGGTCAGGAGTTCGATACCAGCCTAGCCAACATGGTGAAACCCATGTTAGCATAAACAAGAAAAGCAATTAGCCAGCACGTTGTGCATGCAACCTAAGTTCCCAACTACTCGTGAGGCGAGACAGGAGAATTGCTGAACACCCCGGGGAGTGGAGGTGCAGATGAGCCAAACTAGCAACTTCGAGCCTGGGCGACACCACAAAGACCTCTGTCTCACAGAAAAAAAAATTCCAGTCTTCCGTTGTAGCCAGCTCTCTTGTGTATTAAACACCTCTTATTGTAACGCGTCTCCTGTTCTTGATAAGCGGCTTGTATCTAGGCGACACGCAAGAGTGAGCCCCATCTGGGCGTTACAAAAACCAATGTTGAACATTATTAGATTTCATGTATGCTTCCAAAAGGACCTGCTTCTATGCTCCCACTCTCGTCAAAAATATATTGGATTTAGACTCGAAGTACCTGTGGTCATCGCCTGTAATCCCAGCTCACTTTCGAGAGGCCTGAAGGGAGAAATTGCTTGAGGCCCAGGATTCAAGACCAGCCCTGGGCAACAATGTCGAACGCCCCATCTCTACACAAAAATAAAAAAACTTAGCAGAAGTTGTGTGCACACCTGTGTGCCCGCACTATTCGCGGAGGCTGAGATGGAAGACACTTGACCGTGGGAGTTGAGGCTGCCAGTGAGCCTATTATTGAGTTACTGCACTCCATTGTGGTGACAGATGATCTCTGTCTCGGCCAGGCGGGGTGGCTTCACGCCTGTAATCCCAGCACTTGTGGAGGCGAGAGGGGGGGATCCACAAGGCAACGAGATGCAGACCATCCTGGCCACATGGTGGAAACCCTGTCTCTACTAAAAATACAAAAATAGCGCTGGGCACGGTGGTAAACAAGCCTGGTATCCCACAGCTCACTCGGGAGGCTGAGGGCACGGAGAATGGTTTGAAGGTGGGAGGCAAAGGTTGCAGTGAGCCCAGATAAGGCCACTGCACCCAGCCGCTGAGACCAGAACGAGGATTCGGTCTCAAAAATAAAAAATAAATAAATAAATTAATATAATAATACAACTAATAAAATGATAAGTAATATGAAATAGGCTGGCGCACGATGGCTCAACCCTGTATGT